TCACACTGCTAAGAGAACTCACCACAAATAACGAATTCCACGGATCTCAGCATTTTTTAGAAAGAACCTATACAAAGTAAATAACTGGATTGTCATTAGACTGCCGTCACCTTATGCTTGTAAACTTGGGATACTTATGATTAAGTATGGTAAGAATGTCGTTGAAAATTACTGAACGTAAATGTCACTACAGATAATTCTAGTATCACACCATCCACCATAGAAAAGGACATGAGCATTAACGCTTCATGATGTGCTTCAGATCTATGTCAGTTTTCATTAGCCAGGTATTAAAAACTACAGATAAACAACTGAATCAACCAAAAATCAAGAGGTCTTTTGAAAAAGATGTAGGCTCTGTCTTTCATTGATAAATCGATTAGAATTTCGAATCATGCGGAAGAAAATATGAGAATGATATATAATCCGAAACTTGCCTCAGTTGTTCTTTGGTTTGCTCAACAGTTTTCTGTAGGATTGCTTGAGCTCCTTTATTACTTCTATCTCTTTTATGAGTTCCATTTGTGCATCGTCGTGGACGAGATCAATACCTGTTCTTCCCTCACTGGGAAACAGTCGAAATAGTAAACTTTTACTGAACTACCGACTGAGTAAACACTGCTGAGCAAAGTGAAGAGGTTCTTCGGTTGCTTCGAGTGTTTTCTTTAATCGGATAAAGTACCCGTCCAATATTTCAGTTTCTTCTGAAGTATCCTGCAGTTTTTTGTTGACTTCTGACTTCCAGTACTTAACGTTAGCAATTCTTAGATCTGTCACATGAAACTTTTCATACAACAACGACCTACCAAACTTTTTCTCCACATCTTTCAGGGTTTTTTCGGTGCGTTTGGCCGTTTCCTCAATGAGTCTATCACACTCATTTTGTAGTCCTTGTGATATTTCACGTTCCTTCTCTGCACTACGATACTTTAAATTGTTGCTATACGTCCATTCTTCATGTGTGAAGCGTTGAGGTTGCCGCACCAATCCAGCCATTATAAGGTTTTTCACAATCTAGTAACTAAACGTTTTGAAACTTTGCGCTTCATGTCGTCATAACAATAAATCTACAAATTGGTTATAGTGAAGGAAACACCAATATATCCTTTTAAATAGAGAAACCATTCTAAAAAATGTACAATGTATGGTACATATGCTTTTGTTACACAAAGGGGCGGTGGCGCTCATTTGAATAACCGGTAGAACATGAAGGAAGAGGACGAACTTAACCTCACTGTGATCCAAACGTACGATAAGTATTGCACACAAATCCTGGACAAGTCTCCAAGTGCTCATGTGTATTCTTTCCAGAGTGATAAAAATGCATGGGTAAGTCCTTGATTTTTTCAACCACTATTAGTACAACCTTGCTGCATTATGGCCTTCAGCTTTATATGGTTGTCTGATCTTTATAATGATAATTCTAAACCTATAACTCAAACAACTGGCGCTGAAGTCTTTTAAAGGCTTTTCCTATTGGGAAATGGACATTTATTCGGATACTTGTTGCAAAAGTTAATACATTTTTGTTTCAATCTTCTCATCTGTCCCATTATCTTGATAGTAAAGACGTAAATGTCTGTTCATTCCCTGAGATTTGAGTCACATCTGTCCTGCATACTAAAAATCCTGCCTGATTTATAGCGTCTTACTGGTTGTGGCTTTTTTTCATGTTCATGAGTAGCGTTTTCAGTCTTCAGTAGTCTTCAGTCTTCAGTAATAAGGATAGGAGGTCTGTCGACCTATATTAATCCTTGCAGTTTGTAATACTATGGAGGTCCAATCTCGTTTTGAATATATTAACAGATGGTGCTGATATTACGTGTTCCGGTAGAGAATTCCAGTAATTCACTACTCGGTGCGAGAAGCGGAATTCCAAACGTAAACGGTTTGATCTCGGTTTTTGAACTTTCTTCGAATGTCCTCTCAAATGATCAGTCCTAGACGGAAGCAAAAGATAAGACATGTTAATACCAAGGTCATCGTTCAGTATACGATAGGCCAATATTAGATCACCCCTTATTCTACGGTAAGATAACGGAAATAAGTTAAGGTGTCTCAGTCTGTCTTCATAAGATAGGCCAGATAGACCTTGTACCATCTTAGTAGCTCGTCGTTGGACTCTTTCTAGCATATCTGCTTCATATTTGAAACAAGGACACGCTGCTTGAATCCCGTATTCTAAATGTGGTCGCACATAAATCGGGTATAGTAATCTAAACATTTCATCATCTAAATACTGGAAAGACCTACGAATTGACCATAATACCCTATAGCCTTTTGCAGCAGCAGCCTTACAGTGACTAGTCGTTTTGAGATCATTGCTTAATATGACTCCTAAATCTTTATAGTTTCTTACTTTGGGTAGCACGAATCCACGTAGTGTATAGTCATACGATTCATCAGAGTTATTTAACTGCATCACTACACTCTTATTAGGATTTACTTCTAGTGACCACCTATCTAACCATGCCACCAATGAGCTAAGATCGTCCTGTAATACTATCCTATCCGACATGCTATGTATGGGTCTCCAAATCTTTATGTCATCAGCGAAGAGTAGAACGGATGATTTTGCTACAGTTGGCAATTCATTTACATAAAGTAAAAAGAGAAGAGGACCCAGGATTGTACCTTGGGGAACCCCACTTTTTACAGGTACCCACGAGGAGAGAGCCCCATTAACCCTTACCCTTTGTCTCCTGTCATGGAGAAAGTTACTTATCCAATCGACGACTGTATAATGGATTCCAAAACGTTTCAGTTTGAATTTAAGACCAGAGTGGGAAACCTTATCAAAGGCTTTACTTAGATCTATGAAAATCACATCCACAGGAGCATTCCGATCCTTTGCCGCAGCCCAATCTTCTCGTGCAATGAGAAGATTTGTCAAGCAAGATAGGCCTTTCCGAAAACCATGTTGTTCCCTGGAGAAAAGATTTTGCCCTTCAACATAGTTTATAACAGCTATCCGAATGATTTTCTCCATCAGTTTTACAACTGCACTAGTTAAGCTAACGGGTCTATAGTTACTAACTAAATCCCTACCCCCAGCCTTATACACCGGACTTATTATGGCGTCTTTCCAGTCTCTAGGAAGTCTGGACTGTCTCAGAGACATGTCGAATAGTATCGCTAATGGTTCAGCAATTTCATCTGATATGGCTTTCATAATCCTAGGATGAATATCGTCAGGACCACTGGACTTATCAGGTTTGAGATGCTGGAGTAGCCTTAAAACAGTATCTTTCTCAATGACTACAGGATCCATCAGCGAGCCGTCACGGTCGCGACGAATCATTGGTCGTTCCTCATTACCGATAGAAAACACTTTACTAAAGTATTCCGATAAAGCTTCAGCTTTTTCGGCATCATTCTCTGCTAAGATTAACGGATTTTCTCGTATCAAAAGTGATGGAATTCCATCACTTCTCTTAGTTCGCCTTTTTATATACGAGAATAACCGTTTCGGACTATATCTAGAATCCCTAACCAACTGTTTTTCGTATGATAGTCTAGTTTTACTTATTAACGCTTTACAGGCATTCCTTATCTTACAGTAACTGGATCTGTATTGTTCTAAGCCAGTAGAAATGAACATATCCCAGTGATTCTTCCTTTTTCTAAGGAGTTTCCTGACCGTTTTAGTTATCCATGGTGGACTATTATTCGGTCTTCGCGGTACCAGGTATGGTATGAACGGGGACGTAACTAGTCTAAATTTACCTTTAAATACAGACCATGCTTCTTCAACTGATATGCTAGTATCTACTAACCAATCTGTCTTAGCAGCACATTCCTGAATGGCTGATATGTTAGCTTTCCATACATTTGGGCGAGGTGTAACCTGATCGTATAACATGTCCCTAGTTCGAAACGTGAATGACAAAACAGCGTGATCGCTGTTCACTAACGGCGGGAGAATATTAAAGTCGACAATATCCTCAGTCTCATGAGTGATTACCAAATCCAACAGAGAAGAACCCTGGTTAACACCAAAACGTGTGGGTTGGGATACATGCTGTACTAGTGCATGCTCCATTATTGTCATCAGGAACTTACTATCAAAGGAGTTTATAGATCCTTCTGTGGTCATATCAGTCCAACTAATATCAGGTGCGTTAAAGTCTCCTATTATCAAACATCTGGTATTTTCACTCCAAAGATGAATGTGCTCTAAAACAAAGTCATCAGCTAGGCAGATTGGGCTCCGATAGATGACACCTAGCATAAATGTACTACATCCTATAGCCAACTTACAGCTAATGACTTCACAAGTGCCGCTATCATGGGATTCGCTAATAGAGGAGCGGATATTTATGCTATTGGCTATGTATAACAGGACCCCGCCTCCTTTCCTACATCTATGTCTATCACTCCTGATGCAATGGTATCCGGATAATTCTGGAGTAATGTCTAAGTCATCGACTAACCAAGTTTCTGTCACTGCTACTATGAGTGGCTTTAACCTGTCCACTAGTGCTTCTAGTTCATAGAACTTATTTCGTAGACTACGAGCGTTGGCATATAAAACTCCTAAGTAGAACAGCCTATCCACACAGGCCTTGGTAGCATTCGCTTCCAAGACCTGACTATCCGAAAACCCACTAGCCGGAGATTTTCCTCGCCGTTTTGCCGACGGGTTTCAAGCTCAGCTAGTGCTTTCTTCCTTTTTATTCTATCTTCGAGAGATATGTCAGGTCTAACTCGGATGTCAGAATTGTCGTGACAACGAGCGCTACTTAACAAGAGATCCCGTTGCTTCTCCGATCCTAGGATTACCTTAAGGAGTCTGCATGGACGGGGTTCAACATTGTCCTCGGTCCTCTTGCCTATTCTTACCAACTTTTTAACCTGAACTCCTTTGGAGTTATCTGGTAAAATACTACGAATGTATTCTCCTAGCTTTTCTAAGTCATGCGCGTGTCTAATTTTCGGATCAGGGTCATTTGACTCCCGCAATTTGCTCACAATAATATTCGATGTTATTAGATTTTTCTTCTCAGTTACGCCAGGATGGGTTTCACTCTTACGATCAGATCTTGGTAGTGCAATTTGTGGCTCACAATTTGAGTCCACCAGTGAGTTACTAACTGCCTGTGTACTGCTTACAGCTTTTTTCTTTTCGTTTCGTTTCCTACGTACCGTAATCCATTTTTCATCCCTCATAACACTGGGACTATTTGGAGTGGTGACTGTTTTATCCAGATCTAAGGTTCCTACTAAAGGTGCATTATTAACAATGTCAGTACTAGGTGGTACTACTCCCCCTGTTAATATCAACGAAGATTTCACTTTTACGTCGGTCACAGTCGGTTTTTTGAGGCGTCGCGTAACAACACTGACACATTCGTCACTGTCAGTGCCCGTGTTGTCGGTGCATATGCCATCATTCTTCTTACAGGCCAAAGCCAATAGGCTCATAGCCTCCTGTATTAGCAATGCCTTGTTGGCACAGCAAAACATGCAAAGCCAATGTGAGTTAGGCTTCGAACATCTTTTATATGCAATAGGACTTAAACGGGTGCACATTTTGTGGAACCATTTATTGCATTCGTCACACTGCATTCCCTCCTCCACAGGGAACAAACAGTTTGGTTGTCCACATTTGTGGGTACTACCAACCATTTTAGTCTGATTTAGGTGTAATACACAATATGATCACAGTATGGACCACAAGACAAACTCTAGCAAGATGTCAAACCTTAACTAAAGTACTTTGATACAGACCAAGAATGCTTTCGAATGTGATAAATACACAAAAGCCAAAAAAACTCAGTAAAATATCACCTTAACTGGAGTAGATTCAATTAAAGTGTAAATCGTAGTTTTGATACGTAATTTACGATCAAAACAGTTTAAAAATTTAACGAGAAACAATACCACTGTCCTTTTTAGATAACGCGCTTTCTTGCCGCAACGCAAACTGCGGTTGGTGTTGTGGTTGGACTGGACCCGAATAAGAATCACTTACCCTATAATATTCTGATGACATTCTTCTGATGTGGTAAGACACCACTATATGAAGGCTGAATCCTGTTTTGCCTTTTATGTATACATAGCTATGTGTATATAGCTATCATTACTCCCAAGTAATCGTCAAATAGTTGGTTCTGAAGTTTTACATACACGATATTTACGGAAATCCGTGTGTATGCATACATTTTACTAGTAAGACCCATTATATTTGGCAAAAACTTACCAGTAACAATTACACAACTCGGTCTTAGTTTTTGGCAATATATCTCATCGGTTCATGTAGTTTTTATTGACCAGACCGCAATGAGATGCCTGTTTGCCTGAAAGGGTGACCGTCATAGACAGCAATTTCTTATAGATTATTTGTTGGTTATGGGACTCGGTCAACGAAAGTAAGACGTTTATCAAACCAACAATCGTGTGTACATTAGTCCGGTAGACGAAATATAACTTTTCATAAAATAGTGATGTATTGAAGATACTAATAAAAATGTCCTTAAGCCTTGAGTGCCAGTGCAAGAATGTTCACATCAAATATTTGGAAACATCGATGAGCTTACGTCACTCAAAAAAATAAGGTGGGTATTCGTCGGTCTACTAAAAGGCGAACATATTGCACATCGGTTTTCTCTGTTCCACTTCTTGGTCTTGAAAGGTGGTCTTTGAGGTCTTGAAATATTTGTTGGTTATTACTATTTGATCGTAGATGTCTTCAAGGCATTGATTGTGTACAGTAAAATGATGAAGTAGGTGATACCACGGTTTGTCGTTGTTTATATATTTAAACACAAACATTGGTACAAGGAGGCACCAAATAGATATGCGCCACATTAATCATTCGATTTATGTAAGGGCTGGGGTACTTCCCGAGTGCCCAAACCAGAGTAGGTGGTTTTCTTGGGAGACCACGTCCCGAGTCTTCGACCTAAAGGTCTGATTCACAAGGCAGTGAACTGACGTAAGGAAACAGTCCCATGGTTGCCGGTGATCAGCAATTGATTCATACACCACTTGTTCCCTCAGGATACTGGAGCCCATGTGGACAATTAGTTTGGAATCAGGGTTTTACAGCTCCCCTAGATGGATGCTTCATACCCATTAAACCGGTTAAAGCGCCAAACATTTGCTTTACATCCTTTCAATTTTGTAAACAATCACACGGCGAGAAGGTAGTGAGTAGAACTTCCATGGCAGTGGCTGTATACTCATGGCCATGTGAGAGAATTTCGGCCGTACCAGGTTATTTGTCGTATAAAGTTTCATTGAACATAATTGTTTATTCTTTCGTACCCAAACTTTCCCTCTAATTTTAGGCTAAAACGAAAACAGGTGGCATATTTTTCCTATATAAGCGGTAAGTGTCGAGTGTAACTTACCAATATATTTCTTTCAGATCAAAAGTTCCTTTTTTCGCTTTCATGATTCTGAATCGTAAGAGTCCGACATTGAATCAAATTGAGTTAGTGACTGCAAGTTTACAGCTTCAGCTGCACTGTCCTTTTCTTTTATATAAGACTTCGAAAGGTAAATAATAAATGTCCTTAGCACAACAATAATATAGGGGATATATTCTCCATCTGGTTCTTCTCTGGTTCAGATTGTGAACGCATCGCGGAAAAACTTGGCAAGTAGGTATTCACATTTTTTTAATAATTAGTCTCCCTACTTCATGTGTGAATTCATCTACTTCCGTGTCTCCAGAAATTCTATCGTTTTCTTTAGGATTTCATTATCAGTAGAAGGGTTTCTAATTTTTATCTTGACAGTTTATAGATTTTGAGCTTCATCTGTCTAGATCTCACATGACATATGACGTATTGAATACCTAGACTAGGAACGCTATGCTTTCCCCTAGGTCAGAAGTGAACAGTTAGTTTACTGTATTAACCTGATCATTTTCTATTTCTCCAGATTACTCTTACACGTAATACCGTCTCACGTCATGATGTATGGTGGTTTGACACGCATCGATAAATCCACTTAGTACATGTTTACAACGTTGTTGAACGATCTGCCTTCCTTGCATAATGTTTTATCCTGAGCTCAATATATCTGAAAAATAAATATTGGTCGCCAGGACTCAATACAGGTCCCAGTGTTTTTCATCAAAGTTTGGTGAAAATTGCTTGTTTAATTCGGTTTGACGTTTTGAGCTGAAGTTTAAGATTATTGTCAAGATTATCAGAACTATGTGATATATTAGCGCAACACATTTCGAACAATCTGAACATACATACTTGTTAAGAACACTTGTATGTAAAAAAAATATAAAAAGGTCAACTAGACTAGAAATGGAGGGTAAGAGGAGACAAGAATAATAAAGAAAATGTGAAGATATTTTGAAACCTCATCACTCTGAATATTAAGCTAATATCACCAGGGTAGGTTTAAGGTGAGAACAAACTGTTTTTGAATAGACAAAGGGGGTTTAAATTTTCGTATGGTTAAGGCTACAATAAACCTTAGTATACGCCCTATTACACTTTTGTAGAACACCACAAAAGCCGAATTAAGATTAATCTTATGACCTATTTCAATTATGTGTTTCACATTATTTTCTTTATTATTCTTGTCTCCTCTTACCCTCCATCTCTAGTCTAGTTGACCTTTTGTTTTTTATATATAAGTGTTCTTAACAAGTATGTGTGATCAGATTGTTCGAAATGTATTTCGCTAATATATCACATAGTTCTGATAATCTTCGTTTCCTTATCACACTATCGAAAGATATCAGATGAGCCTAAATATGATCTTATAAATACTAGTCGCTGTGTTGACTACTAAACGTTTAGCACGACATGGAATTCTCAGTGTATGTACTTAAAGTAATCACAGCGCAACGAGGTAATCAAAAATTTAGTTGTTTATTGACATTCCATATCGTTTAGGTTGGTTAAACTGGATTATTGTTGCTCTGCTTCTTGTGTTCATCCACTGAGTTTTATTTTTCAAATTATTTCACTTTTTATTCAACTAGAATCCACATGAACTACAGTTAGCTCATAGTTGTGGTATGTTTACAAATAAACTGAACTTCTAATCATATTTGTTTCATAATCTTGAGCTAGGTTGTAGTTGACTGACCTACTTTTCGGCCACAATACTTTTAAGTCCACGTATACAATGTTTCCGTCTGTATGATTACATAAAATATCTCAATAATGTTTATCGTATTCCGTCTGTATTTCATTTGATAGACTTGTTCACGACGTTGGTGGCTTAGGACTAAAGATAGCTCCTACAAGCCAATCCACAAATTCCAAATCTAAATCTTCCAATTCTGTGATGAATTCTATAGTGGCTGCTCCTAAATCTCCGGAAACAGTTACTAAAGGATTAAATCAGTTAATGGATTTCGTTCGTGCGTCCAATGAAAATTCCAAGGCAAACTCTTCAAACCCATCCAAAGTTAATGACAATGTATCTAATCATTCCGAAGGACCAAGTATATTTGACATGTTACACAAGGCAGAAGCCGATTTTAATTCAGGAGTTAGTATTGTGATTTTTGTTTATTATTTCGTTTAATATTTTCAACTCATGCTACTAGAATATGAACAATATTTTCTTTGCGTCAAGGCTTCAAACACCAAATGGCTACCGAGGCTCCAACATATGTAGTGGGGTTTTGATTGAGATCATGAACCGATTAATGTTAGACCACCATTGGAAATCTGGAAGCACTGGACGGCCGTCTCGTCCTATTGTGGGACTCCTCAGCAGCGCGCATCCACAACCCCGCTCACGGGATTCGAACCCAGGGTCTTCAGTCTCACGCGTGAACGCTTAACCTACTGGACCACTGAGCCGGCATCCCATGGTGTTAATTTCTAACCTCAACCAGGTTTTCACTGGTGGTCTAACATCAATCGGTTCATGATCTCAATCAAAATCTTAACAATCTCAACAACCCCTAAACTGATATGTAGTGGGTTTCAAACATAAAAATCTTTTGAGAGATCTTTTCGTAGACCAGTGAACAGCAATAGTTTCCTTGAAAATAAATAAATGTTACTTATTGACCAAGTAGAAGCTGCACTTCGTGTTAAGGACAAAAATATCATATAATTACTTAAATCAGAGTAGACTAAAATGTGGTTCGAACATATGACTTAATTGTCGGAAGCCGGGTATTGTAACCACTAAGTTAGGGTTCTGTTACACGCTACGTTAAACCCAGAATTTCTTGCACATAGAATGTGTATAATCAACAAAGTTTAACTATTTCTCTATTCAAACAAAAGACATTGATTATCAGTTAATAACTTATATTTTTTATGTTTGCTTGTTTGTTCCAGAGTAATCGAAGCGTATCACAATCAGGTAAGATTAAATCTATTTAAATTAACGTTTTCCATTTAAAAAAGGAATAAAACCTCGTTTTTGTCTCATTCATTGATTTTGTTAATGGTGTATATGTAGTTAGTGGTGACTTTTGCTTTTTCTTTTTGTTTACTTGTTTAGACATAACCGTCAAAAATGAACTACAACGTTTTCGTACAGCTTGCAATCTTCCAGTTTCAAATGGAAATAATTCATTCGGCAATCATTCTGGACCAGGTGCTAGCGGAGTTTCGTAAGTAGCATATTTATCTATGTGTTGTACACCCAAGTATTCTGGTAATGATTAATTGTTTAATGACTTTCGCTTATCAGTATTTAATGTACTTATGAAATGTTTTACTATATTAAATTATGCGTGTTAACCATTAACTCTGTTCATGTTGTGTAATTTCTAAAAGCGTACATGTAGGATGTTCTATGGGTATTGAATATATTAATAGTGAATATTAAACAGTAGCCTAATGGTTACATTAATCAGCTCTCAACCACTAGGTCACTAGTCAGAATTCCAGCCTACACACTTCGGTTTGGGCAGCCAGGTAGTATTACTAGTGTAACTCAAACCCCAGAGTGCATGAATCTATACTCTGTAGATAGGTTACATGAGTTGTTTTTCAATGTCATTCTGGAAAGATCTTAAATAAGCATTTGTTTTTTGTTGCCGAACATTCGCTTTGATAACAACACTAATTTTTTCCTTAGTTTTGAATAGCAGGCTCAATTCATGTATCACAACTTGGTCACGACTTAAAATGATGAAATTAAGTAAAGTAAACTGAATAAATAGTTGATAGCGGTCATATGAATTGGGTGCGAAAGGTTATTCTTGACATTTTAAAACCTTCAAAGCTGCATTTTCGGAAAATAAAGTTTTCGTTACAAGCTGTCACATGTAACATATGGTACGAAATTTACGGTTTTCATAGTAAATACAAGATTCAAATGACCGTTCTCCAATGTTAAAGATTAATTTTAAAATTTACGGACAAATTTACGTCTCTGGTTGTTTTCAATTCGAACAAATTATAAAGTCTACAGTACTGTGTCCACTAGATACTTGAATACATATTACAAAAATGCTTTTTGTATGGTTGATCACTGTTTTAATCATTCCCCGTTTTAGGAGTTCATTTGTATTTAAGTAATCTTATTATTACTGCTAATTCTTATGCAAGTCTTATATGACGCGTCTGATTAAGGCATTTTTATCGATCTGATTCGTGTTTGACGTCGAACACTTACTTTGTGTCTATTAGTCTACTTTTTGAAATTAATCATCGCCTCTCATTCATATGCTAGTTTGTCTAAGAGAAATGGATATGTGTAGATAGAAGGTCTGAGTGAGCTTATTTACTAACCTATCGTATCAATCTAAGTTAACCTACTCATTTATATCGTTAATTAATATCCATCCAGGTTTCCAGAGAGCACCATGATTAATATGGTTCATTAAAGTTAGCACAGTGTTAATAGATTATTATCAAGCAAATGAGACTATTTGCAAATTAATTATTTGTTTCTAGTATATTTTGAAGCATTATTATCCTTGTTCATGGTTCGGATGTTTAGTCAGTCAAAACAAATATGGAAGCAATCAAAAATTATATATAGGGGTGAACTCATTGAAACGAACTATTAGGACAGTACTGAATCTTCAAAACATGGATTTTATTAAAATATAAATTATAGTTTCTGGCAACATTTATATGATTCATTACATTAGTTTTATTTTATTGATCATAATTCTAGTAAACAGTAGATATACTTATCTTCATGTATAGGGAGCCCCATTGGTAAAAAGTATTACATATATTTAAATAGTTGCTTCATTGAAGGTTGTAACCTCTTCGTTTACTTGTTTTCGGATTTTTATTTCTACCTATTTTAGAAGTAGTAAGAAGAATAAACTGAGTTGTGGGTCATCTCAGATTGTCAATCATATTTCTGTTGCTGAACTTGAAGAACAATTACTTCAGGAGCATATATCTGTAAGTTAGAGATATTTCTTGCCACCCATGAAATCTTAGTTGAAATCTTATCGGGTTAGAATTTCAGTCGAAAAATTGGCTTCAGCTAATTGATTTAAGATAACAGCTGGTTGTGCTTCGTGTGATGTGTAGGTAGGTTGAGGTTCACTTAAACTCTAGGCTTATATAATAATCTTATATGATTTCTTACCAGCTAGACAACACCCTGAAAAAAATTTCTGTTCTCTAAGTTTATATCCACGTCGCCTAGTACTGTAAAGTTACTTTTATTGGCGGGTGTACGGATGGAGTAGTTTTGCTAATCATCCAGAATTTGTCATTTTTGTAGTAGCTCACAGTATGAGGATAAAGTCACCAGTCCCTGAAAATGCTATTTAGCATAATTATCAGTTAAGTAGGTTTTTAATTATTGTAGGTACGTGATTTCCACTTTATTCCTCAGTAATGTTGCTACCGGTTCATAAGAATACGAAATGTGGTGGTAGCGATGATCGACCATTCAGTGTTATCACTGCATTCTATCGCGTCAAAATCTGCATATAGATACGCTTTTTTTACATACCTAGCAAATGTATATTCTTCCTAAATTTCTGTTTTATCGTATTCAATAGAATAACAAGCGATTGAAGTGCACTATATTATTTGTTGTCACACGTTGTGATACTGTTGTTATTTCAACTTTTCATACTCAAAATTAAAAATGCAAATAACAGTAATTATTTATCCTTGCCTTCTTCCATTAGCTTCCTGAAAACGTTGATGGGCTAACATCACGTTCAAAGATATCCGGTGATTTAAAAACAGTTGTCGCTACAGACGATAGTTCTCCAGATGACCAGGTGTTATCACATGTGTCAGTCATGGAGTCTTCTGCATGCTACCTTGAAGGACATAAAGATACTCGTGTTGATCGAAATCGCCGCCTTCTTAGTGATGATGCTGGTTATGTGGATGATGTTGATGATGAGGAAGCATGCGAAGACCCTTGTGGTCGTGGTTTACCCAAAAGCTATGGAGTTGGCCAACGTAAACAACGACGGCATATCCGTCAGCAACAAGAAAATTTTTCAGATGAAATACATTCACCATCTAATCGGTCGGTTAATCGAAACAAACTCTCGAATATCACTCCCAAGTGTAAAACGATTATAGGAGAAGACACACTCGTTACACCTGACATGTTAACCAGCATCCCATCATCGATTTTCCCCGGATTAATGTCCGAATTTAATTATGGTAAACATACTGTATCGAGCCCTTTTTCAGAAAATAAAGCCCCCATCTCGACAACAGAAAAATCCGCGATGAATGAATATCTTACGAAAGATCAACTAAGAGAAACATTAATTCATTTATTACAAGTAGGTTTCATTGTATTTTTTATATCAAATAATTAAGAAATACCCGGATTTCCTTCAAATATAAGTCGTTCAGGTATTGTGGAATTTGTTAAATTTTATTGAAATTACGAATCAATCTAAGTTTGACAACTATTGAAAGCCTGGAATTACTAGACGGTTGTTTCGTTCTAGTATGGGACTACGCAGGACTGCGCGTTCACGACCCCTAGGCCAGGGCTCGAGCCCAGGACCTTCACTCTCACGCGCTGAAGTTCAACCTCTAGACCACTGAGTAGTAATCCAATGGTAGGTTGATTGAAGCTAAATTGATCCATCATAGAATCCCAACTCGATGGTTTAGAGGCTAAACTTCCGTACGCGAGACCGAAGTCCTGGGTTTGACCCTTGTCTTTGGGGTCCGCTATACAATATTGTGAAGTCCCACACTGCCGTCCAGTGCTTACAGGTCTCATTGATTGTTGGTTTGTGACCTTAATTAGTTCGTTCATTTCAAGCTAGTTTGCAATGCTTTTTTGTGCTACAATTAAAATAGTTATCTCATTTTCCCATACCAGTTGTCAGTTATCACTGTTAATGCTCGCATTAGCTCACTAATTGTTAGACTTTTCTGGTTCAACTGTAGTGTTACAAATACTATCCTTAATATTTCTTCTATTCGGTTAATTTCACTTGTCAGGTAGTAGAAGGTTGAAATCACCAACAAGCTCTTCAGTCTTGTGAAGAATGTTGCTCCCCGTTTCATCGTCATCTAGGAATATCTGTGATCTCTGATTAGATCAGAGAGAACCAGCTAATTCACTTGGATTGTTCTTACCAAATGTACGAAATAATTCACTATAAGACTTGATCGCTCAAAAACATTCGTGAAAAGTATCCTTATATTGGTTCTAGACGTTCTTTTCGTGTCTTGTAACCGATTTTCACTTCACTGCCTCTTGAAAATCCCTTATTTCAATATTAAACCATATAGTCATTATAGATATGATTGCTCATTGTATCCACTGAAGTGTAAGACATTTAAGACTTTCTCTGTGTTTGTTTTGCTACTAACCACCAACTTTTCTTATTGCTGTTTTCTTTTTCAGACAGATGATGATTTCTTACATCGTATACATATTGGTTATGTTAATGCATTAGAAAAACGATTGCCCAGAAAGTAGAAAGTGCGATTTTCTTTATCTGTACTTATTGTTTTTAGTTTTAGTTGCATCAATAGAGAAAAGATATACATTGATTAATTAACTAATCAGCCAACTGTATGTATTATGTCAAAATTAGATTATGTTAATTATATTTAATCAATTTATACACTTATTGCATAAAAAAGGAAGAAGGGGACAAATGAGACATGCTCTGTTCAATTTTGTCATTGTTTCTTTTCTGGTTGTTTTTATTTCAGTATAAATTTGAACATTTCGTTTTTTTTTTTGTTAGTGATATCTATCATCCATCGACGGTTGTAATTTTCAAGCATTTATTATTCTATACGTTTATCTTATGTAAAAATAAGCCCATATACATGAACATACATATTGTCTATATCTTATTATTCATGTGAAAATACGTCATATATGAAACGTTTTTCTATTGTTATCAATAAATAAATAGTTGGTTTTCTTTTTCAGGATTTCTACAGATAGTATCTTTTATCTACCAATTTCCCATATGTTGTAATGTATGTTTGTTGGTTCTTCCTCTGCAATATTGTATTCAAGAAAAATATTTATCCGAATAAAATTGAAGTCAGAAGACCTACTCAAAAATACAGTTGATCTTTGCTTATTTAATCGTATTGAATGCGAGAGTTATCAATGGAATTGTTAGTTCTATCTGAAAAAGTTTATTCGGACTTGCATATACAGATCCTTACTTTTTTTATCTGAAGACAGATCTTATTTAACATATTTCTCTCCGTGTACATAATATTTAACTTCGTCCAATTGTTTCCTGCTAATAATAAACAGAAGCACGTTGTCCTACTGTTGTTTTCGCACCGTTTATGATTATAGGAGCGTATAATTCATCAAAGGGGAGCTTAGTCAAAGCCGATAATGTTTTAGTTAGGAAGCTTTCATTCCTTTGGCGTTTTTGAAAGATTTATAAGTCTTCCTTAAAATTATTTTTTAGCTCAAAGTAATATAATTGTATGCTCCAACTCTACGTAAGTTGTTTCTGTATGTTTGAGGTTGGTAAGGAAGTTTTCGTACACTCCATTTTAAGACCCGTAGCAAATGTTATCTGAAATTCGATCACTTGTCTCAAATGAAAATTGTAATTTCTAACTGTTATGGTGAAACGTCGAAGCATCTACTTGAACTACGTAAGAGGCTTTTTCTCCAGTTACCCCTACTGGTCAAAGTTTCGACAAAATATTGAATTATTTTGTGCTGCTAATTACGTAGAATGTAGCCGATAGGTTTTGAATAGTCATTCTAGTCAAATGAAATTTGAGTCCTTTTAGATATCAATCAAAAGATTTCTTGTGTTGCCTCAATTCCATATTCATTACAGTGTATGTATGAGAAATAAACGATATTTCACACTTCAGTACTGAAATACTCAGCGTTGTGCCGATTAACTGAAAATGAAAGCGTCTGTAGTAACTTTGAATTGAGGCAAGAATACGTGTTGTAAGATAAAGCATTATTCAGTAGAGTCACCTTGACATTTTGGCTTGACAAGGTAGCCTTACACAACACTAAATACCGCCAATAGTTTCCCTGGAGTTCACACGTTCGACCCCATCTACTTAATTCATTAGTCAAGGATATTTATGATTTCAGTAAAACTAGGTTGTTTTACTATTTATCCGAAATTTATTAATGCATAGAAATATAAGAAAAGGATTATTACGTTGTCCGTATGGTTAGCTGTTTACCTTAATATGATAAAGGGAACACCGTGGTTCAATTTCGCTCTCTACTTACATAAATTTTCTAATGATTTTATGTCCTACTTTGTATACTCCAATTGTTTGTTTACTATCGATATTTTAGTTATTCATCCACCATTTTCTCGAAAATGGGACTGACGTCTGGACATATCTGAATCGTGTCCATTACCACGTCGATACAGTGACTTATCACCAATGCTTATTAATTTTAATTTGTACTTAATGCCAATTAATCAATCTAAGTGTTTTTGATTTAATAACAATGGTAAGGTCAAAACCCATGTCATATAAATCATTCATATTCTATAGATTTTAGAAATTAAAAATCTGAGAAGTATTACACACTTTCCTAAGTAGATTCTATTTATAAATAGTTTATCAGAGTTAAGTCTAACTTTAATATACCAGCATCTATCCTTCATGTAGTAATTTGAATGAAAAACGTTCAACGGATAGTTTTATCAAAATATTGACATGATCATATATAGTTTCTGTCTTAATTATGTATCTTTGTGCTTCTAATCCAAAAATCTCGTATTATCATTTGTTTTGTGAAGATTTGATTTCCGAACTAATGAATACTTTTTGACTAGTAACTGTAATTGATATTGTTTGATAATATATCGGGATGATCTGGCTCCAAAGAAATGACTCGGAGATATCTTTACAAGCCCGATACCTCAGATACTGCTGATCCACCTTTATTCAGACAGTTTAAACCCAACAGTTTATTACCTAGACTTAGGATATGAAATATTTTGTACAAACAACGAAGTTAGCGAGGAGATTCAACTGAAAGGAGCATTGCACAATTCGAAAAAAGCACGAATTCAAAAACTTCTAATCAACAGGAGAACAAGCAAAATGTGCATTCTTCAAGAGTTCTGTTAAGTCATCAAACAAATAGATGTACGATAAGGTTGCTACTCGTTATCTCAAGTTTCTAAACAATTCTATACTTCATCTTTAGTAACCAACGTAAAACTAATTAATTGCATAATATTTCAACGTGATAGGAAAACTTCAAGTGATAGTCTGAATTTTGTATTTGACCGGAGCTTAGTATATGTCTAATACAGCTAATTTTTAAGACTAATATTTGCTGAATTCATGTAATGACGAAATTCAATCATGAACAACTTTAGGCGATTGATTATGGATGAGTAATATTCCAGATAAAGGAAAGTTCAAGTTGCGTTCGAAGCTAATCTATCATATATAACGCCCCCGAATGCCCTGGTACGGCCGAGAGTGGGGTGAGTCCGCTCTCCCTCTCGAAATACTCTCACACGGCCGCGCGTATACAGCCTCTGCCAGGGAAGTCCTACTCATTGCCTTCTCGTGGAGGGGGTGTTGTTTACGAAAATGAGAGGACGAAAAGCGAATGTCCGGCGCTTTAACCGGATCACAAACCAATGGTGCACATGGGCTCCAGTATCCTGCGGGAACAAATGGCGTATGAACCAATCTTTGGTCACCGGCTACCATGGGATTGCATCTCCTTACGATGCTCCACTGCCTTGTGGGTTAGACCTTTAGGTCAAAGGCTCGGGGAGTGGCCCCCTAAGAAAACCACCTGCTTCGGTTTGGGCACCCGGGCAGTATCACAGCCCACACACAAACGATGAACTCTATGTCTTTGGCAACTACTTTTATCGCTCCGAAAAACAATCAGTCGATTCAAATAATTATCATTACTATTATTGTCATTATTAATACTATTATTATTACTATTATTGTCGTTATTATTATTATTATTATTATTTCCCACATTATTCACCCTCTTTTATACTTATACAGCGGCTCGTCTTTGGTGGAAATCCGACTGTATCTAAACGTTCTCGAGTCACTGTCCGGTTGAAAATTGTATGTTACCATCGAATATGAGTACTGAAGCAGTTTTTCTGAAACCACGTGCACCATTCAAACTGGCTGCCTTCAACGTTCGCACACTTATGCAGGTTGGTCAACAGATAGGGCTGGCTATGTCTTTGGAAAGTCTTAATATTGATGTTTGTTGTCTATCCGAGACCCGTATTCAAGACTCTGGCGAAGTACTACAAATTCGATCTCCATCTGTCGCTTCGAAAAGCTTGTTTTACGTGCGCTTATCCGGGGACCCTGTGGCATCTTCGTCTGGTCTTGCTGGCGTTGGTGTCGCACTAAGCGCTAGAGCTGAGGCAGCACTAGTCGATTGGATCCCCATTAACAGTCGGTTATGTGCTGTTAGATTAGAAAGTTCCATCAAAGTGAGAAGAAATCGGCGTGAGAAACGATGTCTTTTCGTCATCTCCGCCTATGCCCCGACAGATTGCAGCCCGGATGCAATCAAGGATGAGTTTTACCACCAGTTATCTGTTCTTCTCCAGAAAGTGCGTTCGACAGATATTGTAGTACTAGCCGGAGACTTGAATGCTCAGGTCGGGCGTCTAGGCACAGAAGAGAGTCGTTTAGGTGGCCGATGGGGACTTGTTGGTCGCAGGTCAGATAACGGGGACCGTCTACTGCAACTGTGCACAGACCACAACCTGTTTCTGGCTAGCACTAACTTTCGGCACAGTCATCGCCGATGTGCCACCTGGCGTCCTCCCTCTGCATCTCAAGCCTGGACTCAGATTGATCACATCGCGATCAGCTACCGCTGGCGTGGTTGTGTAAAAGACTGCCGCTCCTTTTGGAGTACCTATCTGGACTCTGACCATGCCTTGGTCTGCGCCAATCTTGCCTTACTTTTCAGTGGACAACGAAGTGACCGCCATCAACGGATTGATGTTAGCAAGCTGGTTGCAACTTCTGTTGCAAGTAAGTATCGAACCGAGCTAGCCTCTAGGCTAGCTACCACTCCACCGAAAAGTATAGATGAGCATTGGTTGCAATTGCATGACGCCATGAAAATGGCGGGAACAGTCAGTTGTGGGTTTGCGAAACGTCCCGCTTTTAAGCACTGGGTTTCTTCTGGTTCCTTACAACTCATTGAAGCCCGTCGGTCTACTCCGGGTGACCGTGAGTTTGACCATAAACGAAGGATGTTACGTAAGGAAATTGGGCAAAGCTTGCGTAAGGACCGAGAAGCCTGGTGGTCGAAGCGTGCTAATGAGCTGGAAGCAGCAGCTGCATCTGGTAACTACCGGAAGCTCTTCCAGCTCATCCGAGCCACTGGCAGCAAGAAGTCTGGTGTGAGTGAAACAATCTGCGAGGATGATGGGATGCCAATCACTAACATCCATCGACGTCTTGGACGATGGGCAGAATTTTTCGAAGGGCAGTTCAACTGGCCTGCTGCTCCGGCAACATCGGTCAGACTGTCCTGCCCTCCATGGCCGGTGACGACTGATCCACCAAATGAGGAGGAAGTCCGCAAGGAACTCCAACTCTTGAAGCGTTACAAATCACCTGGCCCAGATGACTTACCTCCGGCTCTTTTTAAAGATGGTGGTGACTTTTTGACTAAGGAATTGACGACGTTGTTTACAAAGGTTTGGGAACTAGAGAGTGTACCAACGTCATGGAATGAGTCGATAGTTGTCCCTATCTTTAAAAAGGGTTCACGTCGTTCCTGTAACAACTATCGGGGGATAAGTCTACTTCCGATTGCGTCCAAGCTATTGGCTTCCGTCATACTTCGTAGGTTGTTCAAAACCCGAGAAAGATTGACTCGCGAGGAGCAGGCTGGGTTTCGTTCTGGTCGAGGATGTATTGATCATATCTTCACCCTCCGCCAAATGTTAGAACACCGCCATACTTATCAAAGGCCAACAATCGTAGTGTTTCTTGACATCAGGGCTGCCTTCGATTCGTTGGACAGGACTGTTCTCTGGGATTGTCTATTGAAGAAGGGTGTGCCTGAGAAGTTTATTAACATCC